AGATAGATAGATAGATAGATAGATAGATAGATAGATAGATAGATAGATAGATAGATAGATAGATAGATAGATAGATAGATAGATAGATAGATAGACGGACGGATGGATGGATACATATATAGATAGATGGATGGATGGATGGACGGACGGACGGATAGATAGACAGACAGACAGACAGATAGACAGATAGATAGATAGACAGATAGATAGATAGATAGAATTCTTAGTGATTCCACGCTACAAATGCGTGCAGATATGAACAGACTTTCTGAACTTTAGCAGCTCTTACAGTTGTTTAAATGCTTCAGATATTTATATAACAGGAGAGTTATTGAAAATGCTATTGTTCCTGTAAAGCAATGCTCTTCTCAGAGCTTCCCTCATGAATTACTAACACCCACAGCTCAATGAATAAATGATTCAGCACAAGCACTAACTCATGGCTGTGTGTATCAATAATCCCCTGATAATGAGCCGTCACTCATGTCAAATGCTATAGTTGTTTCTTTACATCATCTGGGCTAAAAATGAAATGAATGAGCTCATATTCTTTTGGGGAGCTATCATGTAGGTAGATGTTGATTTTCAGTTTATTTTCGGTATTCGGTTTAAAATCCATTAATATGACATCCTGACCTAGCTAGATTTCCAAAAACGCAGTGTCAGGCAGAATTTCATGTGTTTAGATTTGTTATAAAATTACAGTAAATACTCAGAATGGGGAAGAGGAACTTAGAATTGCATCTAGACGTTTTCCATTCTCCCTTTTTTATTTCTGTTTTTCGTACCAAACGTTTATTTTGCACAGACTTCCACGTAGCGTTTTCTGAAGTAAAAAAAAAAAAAAAGATTGAATAGATTTGCAACCAAAGCCAAACTAATAATTTTCACAGAAAACTGGAACGTCTTGTCAGTGAATGCTAATAATCCACTCTGAAGTCAGGAACATTGTGAGTGAAAATGTACTTTGAGATTGTCATCCAAGAATATGTGATAACAGAAATAAACCTGTTAAGTTTTTGCACGTTTTTGTTTCTCTGTTGTAAGTTTAAATTGACAAAATATATTCATAATGAGATACATATATAAAATAATTGATCTCACTCTGTCTCTTGAGTTAGGTATTTTGATGAAACCATAATGCACGTTCAAAATTTTGAACAAATAAAACGAAAAGGTCTTTAACTGCGTTTTAGTTGATCGCGGCCCCTACGGGTCAAAAGCTTTAATGTCAGCCATTGAATGCTGTTATCCTGCCAGTCAGGAAAATAGCTATCAAATCATCGCTTCCGCTAAAATTATTTATTCCGATTATTTTGACAGTTCTGTTCATGCGTTTCTTCAGGGCTCATATGTTGATCTGTGCTGCACTCTAGTGGTCAGGATCGATACATTACCTACACCTGAGATTTATCAAAATCACTCAAGCATAATTAATGCACTGTAAATAGAACAAAGAAAACAGCTGGAGGAGAATCGCAAGCAAATATGCAAACGAAGAAATAATTGGATTGTCAGATATTAAGTGCACTTCTTCAGTCTTGGTGATGCATTTCCAAAACCAAAACAGTTATGCAACATGTTCATATAGTGCAACTGTAAGAGCGTCGCGTCGCGACAAAGCACATATTTTAATAAAAATATATAGTTTAAACACTTTCTACGTATTTTTGGATTAAAGCATCTGCCAAAATGTATTTGTAATGTAATGTTTTTTCTGGATAAAGGAAGCACACATAGGCTTATGTATGGAAGGATGTGTGGATGCGTCCCTCTGGTCACTTGATTAGAGGCATTACTGTACAGGGAAGCGCGTCACGGATCCTCCCCCTCCATACCATAATAACCCGTCATGGCTTCCCAAACCCGCTTCTATATGCACCGATTCCACGCCCGCCGCCGTCTGCACCGACCAAACTCTCATCCGCGGTCACGGAGAGCATTGAAAACGACGCCCTTGACACATTTCCAACCAGGAACGGTCTGATTTCTGACTAGCATTGATGGATTGATTGTGCACTTGCGACACCGGCCGGGAAACCAGATGCATTGCTCACCGGATGCTCTCGGTTTCATTTGTTTGACTGGTTGTGAATGTGTCAGGAAGCACCTATAACACTGTAAATCTGCTCTCGTGTCATCTGTACAGTTCCTCGCGCGCTTCCTTGTTTCAGGCCAATTGCGGGACGGGCTGAAGCCACGGAGGAGGGGGTGGTCTCAGGTGTCCGGTTCTTTCCGTGATCCTGCGCCGGTGGAATTTTAAATCCGTTTCTCCAGCGGGATCTGCTCGTTGTTCTTTAGAACGCGTAATTGTTGCATTGCGCAGAACGTTCACATTGTCGCACTTGCTGATTATAGAACGTTTATATTATAACTTCTGCGGGATGACGATAACGTGTGTGGTTACATTGTAGCTCTCGCAGAATGAGCGTTTCGGAACGTTTCACCGTTTTACTGTAACAGTGCAGAAGTGAGCAGAGCAGCCCACCGGGGTCCGGTGTAAATATTCCACAAACGATAGAGGAGGAGTCGGTGCACGATAAAAGGGATGTGAACCGAGCGCAAAGAGCTTTGGACTCGGTTTAAAGCGCGCGCTCACTGTGTTCTCCTCCTCAGTTTGCTGGAAGTCCTGCTGCTTTATTATGAAGAGTGATCTCTCATAACAAGATTTGGGCATTATCAATCGGATTATGAGTGATCGTCCATGCAAAGTGACGCGAGGTTGACTTAGTTTCCGATCTTGAGGGGATTTATTTCTGTTCTTCTTTTTCTTCTGGAAACGCGTTGGCATCCAGGATGCACCCAGAAAGCAGTGAGAACACTGCAGGAGCAGCAGCCAGCGGGACACCCGCTTCGGAAGAATCGACCACTGAACCGCAGGCTGGACATACTGAGCAACTTGCAGAGGAGCACAAAGAGCCGCAGGAGTATGAGGAACAGGAGCGTAAGCTCGCCCCGGAGGACAGCACGGTGCAGCTGATACAAACCGGCTGCCCCGATAAGCGTCCGGCGACGCCGCCCGGCGCACACCCGGGACCGGGGTTCGTTCCCCCGGAGGGGGGCTTCGGCTGGGTCGTGGTGTTCGCTGCTACGTGGTGCAACGGCTCGATTTTCGGCATCCAGAACTCATTCGGGATTCTGCACATGATGCTGGTGAAAGACCATCAGGAACTGACGGACCAGGCGTCTCAGTTCAAAGTGGGTGAGTGTGTTTCAGTGTTTCACTAAGTGTTGTAAGTGTGAGGTGAAAGGAGATTGCAGGCACGCTTGATCCTGAGAGGCTTAAGGGATCATAACTGTTTTTTCGAGCCCCAGAGTCTGGTGGCAGCCGCCTGAAGCTGCTCTCTGGACCCGCCACAGACAGAGGGAGACGCCCACTCACATCACACACTGACACCTGCTACTGAGAAAACACGGGAACATAGGCTATTTGGGGGGGGGGGCGAAATATTTGGTCTAAAGGCAAAATAAATGTATGACACTATTTGTTAACATATGTCACCACAAAACTCGTATATGTATTTTTTTATAGTAGCCTATATGTATAGTATTGGAACAAAAGAGAAGTTTTGAAGACAAGGATGGTTTATAGTGACCACACCTGTATCTATATCTATATATCTATATACAGTGGTGTGAAAAAGTGTTGGCCCCCTTCCTGATTTCTTTTTTTTTTTGCATGTTTGTCACACTTTAATGTTTCAGATCATCAAACAAATTTAAATATTAGTCAAAGATAACACAAGTAAACGATTATTTTGACAATTAATAATGGATAATAATAATAATAATAATAATAATAAATGTTTCTTGAGCAGCAAATCAGCATATTAGAATGATTTCTGAAGGATCATGTGACACTGAAGACTGGAGTAATGATGCTGAAAATGTAGCTTTGATCACAAGAATAAATGACATTTTAAAATATATTCAAATAGAAAGCAGTTATTTTAAATAGTAAAAATATTTCACAATATTACTGCTTTTGCTGTATTTTGGATCAAATAAATCCAGGCTTGGTGAGCAGAAGAGATTCTTTAAAAAACAATAAAAATCTTACTGTTCAAAAACCTTTGACTGGTAGTGTATGTATCACACTCATAGTTGTTTTGGATAAGAATAAAACGTTAGGTCCGACAATATCGTGTCTTTTTTAATTTAAATCTAGATTTATTCGCATTGGCCCATGGAAACCTCTGTGAACACACTTCGCTTGACTTGGCCAAAAAAGCGCGGGGGACGAATTTAAGTTTTTATTAAAAAGTGTTTACGTATTCTACACTCATGGCACACACACACATTAGGATAGATTCCTGCCTCCGCTGCGAGTCCCAGTGAAGCACTTTACAGATTCAGCTTCTTCTCCTCCTGCCTGGCTCTTTGGCCCACATCACTCACTGCAGAGCAAGACTGTTCTTGATAATGCTGCTGTGAAAACGTGGGAAAAGCCGACGAGGAAGAAGTTGGGGTGAAGCAATCTTTATATTTACATTTACATTTAGTCATTTAGCAGATGCTTTTATCCAAAGCGACTTACAAATGAGGACAATAAAAGCAGTCAAAACTAACAAAAGAGCAACAATATATAAGTGCAAATGACAAGTCTCGGTTAGCCTAACGCAGTACACGTAGCAAGGTGTATATATATATACATATATATTATACACACACACATATATACACACACACACAAACATATATATATATATACACCTTGCTACGTATATATTATACACACACACAAAGAAAAACAAGTGGATAGAATAGAAGAAAAACAAGTAGATAGAATAGAAAAAATTGAAAGTTTGTTTTATATAGGCAGAGCAAAATACTTCATCGCTCCGTCTATAGCGCATTGTGATTGGGTGGTTTACGCTGTCAATACAGGAGACATGATGGTCCTTGGCAAAAAAACAAAACAAAACAAAAACATTCTGTCGGCTCCTTAAATGTGTCGGCCCACCGGGTAAATGCCCAGTATGCCCGATTACTAATCCAGCCCTGATTCCAATCTTTTGGCCGCCAGTGTATACTGACATCATTGTAATATGCTGATTTGGTGCTCAGTTATTAATCAGTTATTACTGATGCTCAATTATTAATGGTTCTTATCATTGTCAATGTTAAAAACAACTTTTGCAGCTTAATATTTTTGTGGCAACCATGATACATTTGTTTTCAGGATTCGTTGATGTCTTTACTATAACTTAAGTTATTGCATTCTTGGTAAATAAAAGTATCTTTCTATCTTTAAAAAAAAAAATCACTTACCCAAAAATGCTAGTATATCACAGTTTCCAATAATATATTTGGCAGCACAACTGTTTTCAACACTGACGATAATCAGAAATGCTTCTTGAGCAGCAAATCGGCATATTAAAATGATTTCTGAAGGATCATGTGACACTGAAGACTGGAGTAATGATGCTGAAAATTTAGATTTGCATCACAGGAATAAATGACATTTTAAAATGGTAAAATGTACAAGTGTATAATTAATTGTAAATTAAAATTGTAATATAAAAGTTATTTTTGTGATCATATTTTACAGTTTAACTGTTTTTACTGTATTTTTGATCAAATAAATGCAGCCTTGGTGAGCATAAAAAGTGTCTTTCGAAAACACGAAAAATGTTAATTATTTGAAACATTTGACCTACAGTGTATGTCAATATATCAAACCAGAATATTACTGAAGGTATCTAAAACCATCCCTTTACCATATCGCTCATTAACTCATCAGAAACTGATTTTCTGATTATTATTACAAAACGTTTTTACAGTTTTATTCTGGTCGTTGTAAAGTAGCAGCAATTTCACCGTTCAAAGAGTTTTGTAATTGCTTCGCTCCCATCCGGGCTTTCCATTTCTCACTCCATGCGCAAGGGTCAGAGAAATCATCAATCTATCCACACATTTCTCCTCAACACAGACCAGTGAAGTGAAGAAATAGTGGAAAGTCCTAGTGCTGATTTTTAATAATTTGCATCTTCCCAGTTATTTACAATATATCATCCATATGCTGTGCATCAGCATGATAAAACAGCATGTTAGCAGCTCTCACATTGTGTAGTAAACCAGACCAAGAGCTCATTCAGTGCTCAATGCAGTCGAAAGCAGTATCTGTCACGAACCCTTCTGAACCTGTGAATGTACCCAACAAACCCCCAAGCTCACTTCTGATCCTCTGCCCGAGCCAACGTGAGGGAAAACAAGACTGAGTCCACATGCTCATAATCTCGTAAATGTCTTGCAGGCCTCTGGATGTTGTTCAGGAAATTTCCATCTGTCTTTCATGCTGAGCTCCATTTTTACGGTCAACACGCAGTAAAAGTTCAGTTAGTTTTAATGTTCAGACACCCACTTGGCTGTACAACATCACTATTTGATGTTTACATCTGAATATTAATAAAATCAGGCCCATAGGAGGAGGACAAATGAGTGGTTTGAGGAGAGTACTAATGAGCGTTATGGAGAAGTGTGTTCGTTGGTTTCTCCCTCGTGTTTTATAAAGTGATACTGTGCAGAATGAAAATATGTGCATGAATTATTTGTGCCAGTGAATATTGTGAGTGTGTGTGTGTGTCTCTTCCTACTTTCAGGCCTGATTCAGTTTTGTGGGTCATTGTATGAAACTGCTGCCTTTTTCAGTTTGATATGGTGTTTTAAAAGGAATTTAAGATTAATTAATTGCCTTTGGCAAGCATTAGGCTAATACATTGAAAAAAATATTGTATGATTTATTTTGAAACTCTGAAAAAAGAATTTCACAAATAACTAAAGGGAAATTACAAGTACTGAATTTAACATGAAGTACAAATAATTATATAGTTTTTTTCTTGTAGAATGTACTCAATCTTTAAATTTTTTTTATTAATTATAAAAAATTATAAAGAAAAAATCTAATTATTCAATTCTTATTTTTGATTTAGATTTTTATATATAATTTGAATATAATGTAATAATTAATGTATGTATGTATGTATGCAAGTGTGTGTGTTTTAAATTAATAGAAAACTTTAACTTTATTTATTTTAACTTATTTATTATAAAATAATTATGATTCTTATCATGATAATTATAAGAGATACCAGTGTTGACAGTTTTACAATTTCATTTTATATTATAAATCTTGTTCTCAAGGTCATGAAACTAAGTGTTTCCTATATGTTTATGCTGATCAATCATCAATAGTTTACTATACAAAATCATTATAAAAGTGTTTTTTTTGTTTAAAGATCATACAAACTAAAAAAAAAGCACCCTCATGATTAAATGAATAAGTACAAAAAATTAGTGACTGGATTAGTGACTTTGCAAGGCTTTATTTAAAGACATGATCAACACAGGCAAGAGTCAGACAATGGCAGACAGGTATATAGAGGGCAAGACTGAAGAGTAATCCAACACAGGCGATGGTCCAGGCGAGTGGTAAACAGTATCCAAACAGGGCGAGACGAGAGGGGTAATCCAAGACAGGCGATATACTTCAGGGCAGGCAGAGATCAGACAAAATGAGATACACAGGCTAGGATCAAGACACAAATGACTAAGGCAATAAACAGGATTAAACTAGACTTTGACTCAGAAAACTTGGAATGGCTCCGGAATCTAGCTATCACTTGGTGAGCAATAAACGCTAGACAATACTCGGCGATTAGAGAAGGATTTGAGTGGTTGTTATATAGTGTGTGTGTGATTGGCTGCAGGTGAGTCCAATCAGTGCAATGGAGCATGGGAAATGTAGTCCAGGGTGACGTGCAACAATTTGTGTGGTGTGAGAGTCAATGTAATCAGAAGGTGACCTCTGGTGGCGAGCAGGCGGAAGACCATGGACCGGATTCGTGAGACTTGGAACTAGGGAAAACTGAGACACAAGAAACAGACAGAGCATATATGGTCTCAAGGACCGAGGCAGGAAACACAACAAGTTCATCAATATTTTCCCTGGTGACAACTGAACGGGCTCACTGACTGAAACTGGACAGGCAGACAGTTCACAAACAGGCTTACTGACTGAAACTGGACAGGCAGACAGTTCATAAACGGGCTCACAGACTAGGACTGGCAAGGCAGACGGTTCAACAGACACATTTGGGAAAACAGAACAGGCAGACAGTTCATAATTAGACTCACTAGCTAGGACTGGCAAGACAGACAGTTCCTGAATGGTCTCTAAGGCAGTGACAGGGTTAACGGGAC